CCAGTGCCATCAAGTTGATTCCAACTCATAGTGACCTTATACAGGGTTTACCTAGATTATAAACCTTCCAGAGAGCAGATAGCCTCCTAGTGCCTAACCCACAGACACAGCAGGGCTCCTTAGAGGGAGAACAGCTCAAAATAAAACTGAGATGTGGGCAGGAGCCAAATCAGAGGAGACGGAGATAATCATATAACTTCAAAAAATGTACCCTTTTATATACTGTTTAACAGTTTACAAAGCATTTCAACATGTTAAGCAGTTATTTGTTATTACAAATCTAATTGTATCACTCTTCTTCAGAATGCCCTCAGTGTAAGTAAGGTCTAAGTAAATAAACCATGTTGTCTGCTGCTAGTTACACTTCTACTTCTTTTTCAAGATTCTACACAATTTACTAGAGTCCTGGTATGACTAACTAGCGTAAGCACTGGACCACAAGGTTGGTTTGAACCACAAGGTTCGTGGTTCAAACGCACAGTCACTCCTTTGAAACGCTATACAGGATCGCTATGAATCAGAGCCAACTCAATGGCACTTAATAACACACACGTTACTATCCTCCAAAACGCTTGGTCAAAGCACTTTTGTAAAATTATGAAACAAGTGACACATTGAAAAAGCATTAAAATCAATATCCACTATCTAGCTTAAAAAACAGGTCCTGACAACCCTTTCTTCTCCATCGGACTTCAAACTCCTCAACATTTAACTGTGTACATTCAAGAACTGGAACGAAATACTAGCACTTTTGATTAATATAAAGCATGTAGAATAAGCACTTCTCCTGACGCGGTGATGTGAGTTAATGAGCTGGACTGCAAAGTCATTTGAACCACAAGGTCCGAAGTTCGAGCTCACCAGCTGCTCCTCTGCAACCCGTATTCACTATGGTCGGAATCGACTCAACACACTTAACAACAACAATGATAAGCACTGGAGACGAGACGGCTAACCACAAGGTCGGTGGTTCAAATCCTCCAGACGACCCTTAGAAACCCTTTACAGGGTAGATATGAGTTGAAACCGACTCAGTTGCACTTAACAAACAATAAAAAAATAAATAAATAAAAAAACCCTGAACAAGTGGATACACTAGGGTTCACAGTGTAGTAAAGGTTAGAGTCAATAAACCATTTAACCTTCCCAAGTATAAAGGAATTTTGCCTTTTCTTTATTCACGACCAAATTTTCAGTTCCCAAATGAGTGGGCCATTGTTTAAGCATTCCAAGAAGGTATTCATCAAACAAATCAGTTTTTGAAGTCAAATAAAATATGCTAGGGCAGAATCCACTAGAAAATACACAACAAAGGTTTTTGAGAAGGGGAAATCTGTTACAGAGCTGGCCTGAGTTTTTGGTTGCTTCCAGATTGAAAGAACACACCCCACTTGAGATGAACCCAGAAGTCCGGCACACGTAAGCACCAGTTGTTCCCCTTTACGGAAAGGAACACCGGAATACAGGAAGATGGAAGTTGTGTTGCGTGTAAATGTATTTTGAAGGGTGGTGGTGGTTGTTAAGTGCAGTAGAGCCCGTTCCGACTCAAAGCGACTCTGTATTTGGTTTCCAAGGTTGTACACGTTGTGGGAGCAGAAAGCTTCATCTTTCTCCTGCAGAGTGGCTGATGGGCTTGAACCGCTGACCTTGTGGTTCGCAATCCAATGCAAAGGGATAGAAATAAAGACGAGGAGGAGGGGGATCAGAGATCGATTATGAAGCAAAAAGGAAACAGAAAGTAACACTAAGAAGATCCATATTTGTTCATGGATCTCCTACACCATTTCTGCACAAACCTGTAACCTTAACACAGCACCTAGTACAAAGCCTTACAGGCCCTGTTAGGTCTCTGCTGCATAGAAGCTTCAGCAGCCACCTGTCCGGCCTCCTCCGCACCACCAGCAACCAAGGCAGGTTAGCCCCCACCGCCTCAAGAGAAACTATCCTAGGCCAGTGGGTTGGTGCGGCGGTAGGGCGACCCGTCGATCGAAGAACACACACGCCGGGGAACGCCATCTGTCCTGGACCGAGACCGAGCCAAGACGGGCCCGCGTCAGAGTCCTCTCAGCCTGCGCATCCTATGAGAGCCTTAAGTGCCGAAATGAGATGAGCGAACCTAACTCTCCGAGGGCAGCAGGTACTTCCGAACTGCTTCCCGGAGATTTTGCTCTTTCTGCGCACCCCGCCCGCTCGTAGTTACCTTCCCAAGTGACATCGTAAAGCTCAGAGACCTTCGCCATCTTCACAGAACTAGTCAGCGGGGTGAGAGGGCGGGGAGGTGCGGTCACGTGACCCAAAACTGAGCGGTTGCTAGTTACGATGCTATTTCTCATTGGCCGAGAGCTCGGAGGGGGCGGGCTCCGCTACACACGTGCACGCGACTCTGCGGAGCGGCTTTAAGAGGAAGGGGCGGAGCGAGACGGGCGGCGCGCTGCGCACTGGGAATGTGAGCATTCTGGGCGGCCTCCGGTTCGATCTCTTTTTCACAAGGGCATTAAACAAACTGAACTTTTAATATACGCCACTGGCGGGTTTTCACTTTTCTTGACATAGGTTTATGCATTCTCATCACACTGTTCCTTGCCAACTGCAGCATTCTGCGCCGAATCCCATATTGGCACAGAACGGACTCCTCCCTTAACGGTATTTACTTATTTCCTTTATAATGTTCCATGATTTTCATTCTTTGTGCGCACCAGCGGGATTCTGCCTTTGAAGCTGTATGTTCCTGTGTCTGAGGACTTAATCTTTACACTAGTGCCTTACTGCAGCCTGCACCCTTGGCTTATGCGCCTCATAGATGGAAATGATTTTTTCCATGGTTCATGAGGTCACTATGAATTGAAGACTGACTCATGGGCAACTAGCAACAGCACAGAACATAGCTACCTTATGGGGTTATCAAAATTAAAAGAGACACTGCAGCTAAAGCACTTGCATGGTACTTTTATGTAGGTACCAGTCCTATAGCTATGTTATTAGCTGCCATTGAGTAGGCTCCAACTCATGGAGAGCTTATGTATTGTTACCGTTGTTTTTAGATGCCATTGTTGTTAAGTGCCATTCAGTTGATTCCAACTCATAGGGACCCTGTATAGGGTTTCCAAGGAGCAGCTGGTGAGCTTGAACCACTGACTTTGTTGTTCAGACGACTTTGCAGTCTGACGCATTAGCCCACAACGCCACACGAGTACTCCATTAAGTAGGCTCCAATTCAAGGAACCTTGTGTATAACAGAATAAAATGCTGTTTGGTTCTGTGCCATCCTCACAATCATTGCTATATTTGAATCCATGATTTCAACTACTGTGTCAATCCCTGGCTGAAAGTCTTCCTCTTTTTTCCTGACCCTCTACTTTGCCAAGCAAGATGTCCTTCTCCAGCAACTGGTCCTTCCTGATAGCATGTGCAAAGTACTTCATACAAAGGCAAACCGTCTTTACTTCTAAGTGTACTTCCTCCAAGACAACTTTGTTCATTCTTCTGACAGTCCATGATAGATTCAGTATTCTTTGCCAACACCACAATTAGAATGCATCAATTCTTCTGACTTCTTTTTACATTGTTCAGCTTTCTTATGCATATGAGGTAATTGAAAAGACATGGCTTGGGTTGGGCCCAGTTTATTTATCAAAGTAATACCTTTGTAAGTACTGTTTACATGCTGATGACTCTCAAATTCATAAATCAGTCTCTACTTCTCCCCTGAAGTCCAGCCCTGCTTGCTTGACATATTTATTTAGATATCTAATATACATTTCAAAGATAACATACCCCAAATAAAATTATGGATTCCAGCCCCACCACTCTCAACCTGTTCGTCTCTATATCAGTTGATGAAATCATTCACTGATTTGCTCAAATTAAAATTTTGGGAAACGTCTTTGATTCTTCTCTTTGCCAACCCCTCCCCCAAGTCTAGTCCATTGGCAAATCCCCAAATACATCTACTTCTTATCTTTACTAATACTATCTTGATCTAAGTCATAACCATCTCTCACCTGAAAGAAGACTAATAGCCTCCTAAGAACCTTAGTTTCACTCATATTCTATAAAATGTGTCCTATACAGTAGCCCTAACGCTAGGAGGACGTCAACTCATAGCAACTCTAAAGGAATGAACTGAGTTGCCTCATTGGGTTTCCAAGGTTGTAATCTTTACAAAGTCACATCTTTCTCCTGCAGAGAAAAAGGTGGGTTCCAATTGCCAACTTTTTGACTAACAAGAGAACTGCTTAATCACTATGTCAACAGGTCTCCTTCCAGTAGCCCTAGTAATCTTAAAAAAGAATAATAATCTAGGACACAGTAACTCCCGTAAAGATTTCCAGCCTCGGAAACCCTGTGCAGGGTCGCTATGAGTCGGAACCGACTCCATGGCACATAACAACAACAACAAGGACACAGTAAACCATGAATAAAGTCCTCAGATGATTCCTGATGACATAAAAATACACTCCAAATGCTTCCTTACAGGATTTTACTCAACCTAGCTTCTGCCTTGGTGTTAGAGGAGAACATTAAAAGTACCATGGACTGCCAGAAGAACAAACCAATCAGGAGCATTACAGTCATAATTCATCTCTAATACTTTGAACATGTTATCAGAATAGGCCAATCCCTAGAGAATGACATCATACTTGGTAAAGTGGAGGGTCACTGAAAACGAGGAAGACTCCCAAGATAGATGACACTGTGGCAGCAGCAATGGGCACAAATGTAACTATTGTAATCATGGTGCAGGACCTGCTAGTGTGCCATTCTGTTGTGCTTGGGTCATTATGAGTCAGCACTGCTTCAACAGAACGTAACAACAGTAATACTCATATTAATGGCTATTATTATATGCCAGACAAAATGGGAAACATTATTTTATTTAATCCTCTCAGTAATACAATGAAAAAGATCAAATGGATGTGGCCTGTAATATAATTCAATATTTTTTACCTACAAGATTATGTTTGAATAGATAGAATGATAAGTCAAAATGAACAGTTTAGAGAGGAATCACCATGAACAAGTTCCCAGTTTCTTTGATATGATGGTGGTGATGGTGGTATGCCATGGAGTCGGTTCCGACTCAAAGCAACCCTGTCCTGTATAGGGTTTCCGAGGATGTAAATCTTTATGGGAGCAGAAAGCCTCATCTTTCTCCTATGGAACAGTTGGTAGTTTTGGACTGCTGTCCTCAAGACTAGCATCCGGATTCTTGACAATTACGCTACCAAAGCTCCTTAGAGCTCCTTTTAAGATGGTATAATATGTCATTTATCAGGCCCAATTGGCTCACAAAGCACTTTAGAATCCTGGTGAGACTTGGAAAGCACTGGGCTGCTAACCACAAAATCACCAGTTCAAATCCACCAGCTGCTTTGCAGTTGTTATGAGTCAGAATTGACTCATGATAGTGGTTTAGTTTGGTGATTTTGGGGTTTGCTTAATTCATATCTTCAGAAATTAGGGAAGACTAAAGTAACTTCTTACAATTAATAAGCCTTTATAGCATTTATAAGAAGCCCTGGCTGAAGATTTGAACCCAGCAGCCACTCTGTGGTAGAAAAATGTGACAATCTGTTCCCATAAAGATTTAAAAGCTTGGAAACCCTGTGGGGAAGCTCTACTCTGTCTACAGGGAGGCTATGAGTTGTAATCAACTGGACAGCAGTGGATTTGGTTTTACAGCATTTATAAAATATACATATGTAACAGTGCAAAGCAGAATACCGTTTTTGATTTTATAATATTCAACATATTCATTGAATCATTTATTTAGACTCTATTATTGGCCTTAACTTGTCTTAATCATAGTGAACTGAAGTATAGTGCATAGTGCAGAACTGTTTGTGACTCCTATTTACGATGACAATTAACCATCGAGGTAAATTGGTCTCGATATGACTCTCACATAATATTTACCATAGGTTTTAAATCATGCTGTTGTTAATGATTAATTAATCATAACATAATCCTTTTGTATTTAATTGAAATTTACTTAA